GCCGCACGACACCTCCCGCTCCAACAAATCGATGTGAAGAACGCGTTCCTTTACGCGCTAGTGGACGCGGTGATCGACGTGGAGCGGCCGCACACATACAGCAAAGGAGATTCACGCGTGTGCCAGCTGCGAAAATCCCTCTACGGGATCAAACAAGCGCCAAGGCTCTGGCAGCAGTACCGTCACAACATCCTGCTTGAAATAGGCTTCAAGCAACTGCCTCACGATACAGAGATGTATCGCCGTGATTTCCGCGATGAATACATCCTGCTCACGGTCTACGTCGACGACCTCCTCTACACAGGGTCGAGCAACGAACTGATTGAGCAGTTCGAGAAGAATCTCGCGGGGCGCGTTGACATCACCTGCAACCACGACGTAAAGCATTTTCTCGGCCTCAACATCTCTTACTCACCAGAAGCCATTCACCTCTCAGCGGCCAAGTATGCAGAAGAACTTGGCAAGTGCTTCAACATCGCACCTACACCACTCTCCACCCCTTACCGCACTCCAGGACCCAACCACAAGCCTGACGACAAAGCCATGTCCCTCGCTGGGCTCCAGACGTACCAGCAGCAGATGGGATGCCTACTCTTCGCCTCTGTCACCAGCAGGACCGATCTCTCGTACATCTCGAGCCAGCTGGCTCAGTGCTCCCGCAAACCAACGGCTGAGAATCTCCTAGATCTTCAGCGCGCACTACAGTTCGTCATCTCAATGCCCAATGTCGGGCTCTGCTACTCCACAGTCCCAACCTCCTCATTTAACCTCATCGGCTACGTGGACGCCGATCATGCTGCTGACCCCGACAATCGAAGGTCCAGAACTGGGTTCTTGTTCCGCCTCGAGCCAACAGGACCCATCTCCTGGAATTCGCAAAAACAGGAGCTGGTTGCCCTGTCGTCAGCGGAGGCTGAATTCATCGCCGCGACGGCAGCCGTTTGCAAAGGGCTCTACCTACAGGAGCTCCTACAGGAGGCGAAAATCCCATCTTCGCCCACCTTTCGCCTGCACTGCGACAACCAGAGCGCGATCAGGATCGCGAACAAGCCTGGATTCGTCAACCGCACCAAACACATTGCGCTGCGGTACTTCTTCGTCAAGGACGAAGTTGACAAGGGCAAGGTTGACCTAACCTACTGCCCGACGGGTGACATGGCAGCTGACTTCCTCACGAAGCGACTGCCACGTCAGCAGTACCAGCACTGCTCCGAACTCAGCGGAGTAGTCAAGCGGGTCAAGACCTGCTACGGCCACGAGTGAAGGGGGTTGTTACGAATAGTAAAAGTTGAAGTGTTACTGTGCACTCCTGACAGTAGCAATCGAAGCATGCAGTACCGAGTCTGAAGACGAAAAGGCGGAAGTGACGCGAAGGGTCGTACGGTTACGAAACATCTGGACCGTCAGGGCAGACATTATCAGGCAGCAGCAGTGGCGAGGATTCTGCCCAGGCAGTTCGTAACCGTCTGGAGTCGCACGGTTGAGTTTCGCCGCAATAAGGGAATGTACCCCTTAGAGTACATGGCTAGCTAGGTCGCTTCGTATTCCACCCTGTACTCTTATTTATATGCTTGTGTTTGCATGTTTTAAGTTATCTCAATCATTTTACATTCACTCTGATTTGAGGTGATCCTGGTTACGATCAACTTCTGATCGCAGCAAAGTAGACCCAACTAGAAGGGGGGGTTCGCTATTTTGCGTGCTGGCTTTAACACGAATTGTAAAACTTTTAGAGAGAAATGTATTTTTTTGTATGAAAGAAACAGATTGTTACGTGTACAGATGAAGCTTTCTTACACTGCCTCCCCCAATAATGCCAATCGCAAGCCCAGCGCAAATGGCGCTTCACTTCGAAATTGGCTTGGGGGGACGAAGCGCGACTTCCAAGTACCCGAAGCGCTATTGAAATCCGCCAATACCTGCATGAAACCGCCACACCATTATTTACTCCCCTCCCCACCAGCACTGACGAGCTCGTCACACGAAAGCCCACCTCCCACCCACAAGCTATAAGATCCCATCATAACCGACGTTCAGTTCGGAAAACGAAAAGCCGTACGCAGTTCAAGCTTGTTTCTTCTTCCATTCGCTGAATCGCAAGCTTCTCGCACTCTTCCTGACGAGCTTTACATAGCCCCAACGAACCCTGACATTACCCAGCCCCTCTGGTTTCCCATGGATACTGGCCTTCCCCGTCGTCTTGTCCTATCCCTTCTGCTGCTGCTGCTGGCCTGTCAAAGTGCTCTGGCGAGCTTCGTGGTCGACCAGAACGGACAAGTATGGGAGGTGACATATCGTGAGTGCCTCTAAAACTTGAAACTTGCATTTGATCACCTGCAGCACACCTCATGTTTTCGTACCATTGCAGCTCCAACCTTGCACTACGGCTCTCATCTCTCAATAGTTGTGTGTGACAAGCTACAAAAGGAATGCGGCACGGTCTCCTCCTTCCACCTAAAACGGCATGAACGCCACGCAGCGTCATGATTCCATGTAACCTTTCCTCTACCCCACAACGAAAATCATTGGTCAGGGCCAAGGTGGGCGATTGTCATCCCGCTGATCATCTCAAGTGTCCTTCTGCTCGGAGGCATCGGGTTCCTCGCGTACTGGCTCTTCAAGCTCCACTACGAAGAGAGTGACGTGTACGACGAGCAGGAGCAGCCCAAGCCCGCGGGCGGCGCAACCGTGTAGAGACGAGACGGGTGACTACAATATTTTTTACTGAGAAACGGTGCTGCAAAGTGGGTGAACTGCTGGATAAGACTGCCTTGCAAAACGGATCTGAAACTGCTGGTGGGAATATGATTAGGGAGCATGCGCTCTGATTGTATAGTACCTTCCATATAATAAGAAGCCAACGATTCAGAGAGTTGGTCTATTAGAAGCATGAAAACGAATGTTCTATAGAATTCCGCATACAGTAGAAAGGATGCCTACAACCCCCTTTCCCCCCCCTACAACCTCATACAAGAGTAACGCCCCACCATAGCCTGACTCATCAAATGATATTAGCAATTGCGCGTTTGGTGTAGTAGGCATTGTGAGCAGCCCCCCAGAAGTCAGAGTTTTTTGTCTGATTTGCTTGTTTTAGTCTGACATTTCAGATTTTTTTTTAGGGTGTACTCTGTAAAATTCAGATTTTTTATTGCCTCAACTCTGTTAAAATCAGATTTGTTTTATAGGCTGACTCTGACGTTTCAGAGTTTTTCGGGAGTGTACTCTGATGAATTCAGAGTACAAATGAGTCGCCCGGACACCACAGATTTGCGCCGTCAAAGCGCAACAATTTCGCCCAATCACCAAAAATTCGCGTCTGACATTGCAGATTCGCCCTGTCACACCACTAGATTCGCTCAGCAAAAGATTCGCCCAATCACCACAAGATTCACCCAATCACCACAGGATTCGCCCTGACACAAGATTCGCGTCTGACATTGCAGATTCGCCGAAATCCCCTTAGTCTAGTTTCGGTAACAGGTGAATGAAACATTGAATACATTTCTGATGAACATTGAATACATTGATTTCGAATGTTCAGACTTTTTTTTTTAGACACTCTGAAATTTCAGCCTTTTTTTAATACCAACTCTGAGAGTTTCAGACTAAAACTGTGTACTAGTCTGACGAATCAGACAGGCCAAAAACGAATCTGAGGGCCTGATTGTGAGTGAAAGCAGATGGCCTGTCAACAACTTCTTCATAAAGCAACAAATACCATACCCAGCTTGTTTGTGCCTTATAAATGCAATCTCCAATACATGATTGAACGGTGATCAATGCTCCATGATGGTGAGCACTCCTTAACAATCCACTTAATCATGTTATCCTACAACACTTTTGAGATACCCAGTGCTTATGAGATTTTAAATTCCTTTATGTGTCCTGAAGACATGATGGCAAATATATTTGATAAATATTCATTGTTCAGATGTAACATATGGCTAGGAATATGCAGTATTAACTCATATCCCACTAGATAAGTTTCTTTATACGGTTATGAGAGAAGTGCAAAGTGCACACTCTTAAAGCTCAAGGCCCAAATTGTTCAACCTTACTAAGGTTGCCCTTTGGGTGGCGGGAGAGGAAGGTTGACCTTGTTGAAGTTGGGCTGTTCAGTTTCGCCCAGCTTCTCGCTACACCCTTAGGCTTTTCGCTGACTAAGCAAACCCCTGGGAGCAACTCGATTTGGTTCTCGAGTCCCAAATTGCACTCACAATATTCTTGGTGTTTCCTTCTCTCCTATTCGACAAAAAAACTGTTGGCCAATCAAATTGAATCGCACTTCACGTAACCACAATTCGCAGCCAAACAACAGTCAAAACACCACTCTCATCAACTTTAGTAAGCTTGCCCCGCGTTCTCTGCAATTTGGGCCTTGAGCTTTAATAGCACATCAAATTATGTACGTACAATGTTCATTGCGGCTGCGCGGGCCAAGGTTTCATGCTCCACCCATAATTATCCAATTATTGTGGCAGCTGCCCACAACCAGACTCGTCCCTGTCGTATCCATCCGTTTGCAGAACTATGGACTTGCTTTGAAATACTTTCTCTGCCCGTACGTTCTTCCCGCACACCACGGCGAGACATTCGGCTGATTTCCCACCGCGACTCGCAATTCGATTTGAGCTTGCATCGTGCTGGTGTGCTGGTGTGGGGAATAATTGGGACGGATAGTGAGTCGTAACTTTCGCTCCGTCGCAGAAACGTTTTAAACCGTACTGAAACACACCGAAGCAGGTCCTATTCCACCTGGAACCGAAAATCCATACGAGTCCCACCCAACTGAAGTTCTCGTCCATAAGTTCCCACATTACTCGTTTCCTCTCCGTATTCCTGCAATTGACAAAATTCTAGGCTACACGCGTTGCACTACTACTACCATGGAACCACCAATTGCTTGCGCGCGATTCTTATTCCTCCTGTCCTTCGTCACCTGGCTGCTCTGCTGCGCCCAGGCGGCAGACCCACCGAAACCAGTCCCAGCAGGAATCTACATGAAAGTCCTAGTCTCCCCGCGCGCGGGCCTCCGCAAGGACATCAACAAGGGCGGCGGCACATGCGGCTTCGAGGGGAGCTTCGACATGAGCGGCCAATTCGACCACGGGCACACGCTGTACGTTCCCGAGAGCTTTTACGAGAAGGGCGCAGCTTGCGGAGCATGCTTCACAGTCTCATGCTCGAATTCGAAGGATTGCCAAGGCCCGAACGGAAGAACCATGAACGTCACAGCGCGCGTTGTGGGCCTCGCGAGGTACACCACCCGTCTTCAGCTATCTGACGTGGCGTGGGACGGGCTCGTCGCGGACCGCAAGCGGCGCGACGTGGACGTGCAGTTCAAGAAGGTCCCGTGCAACGCGACGAGCACCATGGCTGTGCGCGTCGTGAGCGACTCCAAAAAGCACAAGTTCGGGATCCAGATTCTCGGCGCAGGGGGGTTGGGCGTCGCGGGAGTTGAGATATCAAACGATGGAAAAAAGTGGGTGAGAATGGAGCGGAAGGACGGGGCTGCCACGTGGACGGTGAACAGCAAGGACGCCAAGGACGCAGCTAAGAACATCGTGCGCAGTGGCAAGCACATGAGCGTACGCGTTACAGCAGCGACCTCGGGAGAGAAGGTTGTCCTCGATAACATCATCCCCGCTGGTTGGACAGCCGCCCGCGTGTACCTATCCAAGTCGAACTTCCACGTCGCGGGAGCAAAGGCGGGATGGTCTCCACTGCCATCCGCGGGACTAAGCAAGGGCAGCGGCGTTGACAAGGCGAAAGTGGAGAGCGCGGTCGAAACGATCAAGGCGGCGGTCAGCAAGGCAGGCACTGAGGTTTCCGCCGCAGCCAAGTCGGCGCTCGAGGCATTGAAGGGCATTGTGGCGAGCCTGGAGGGCAAGGCAAAGACGCAGGACGGGAAGAAGTCTGATAAGTAAAGAGTGTAAAGATTTCACAGAAGCATCCCAGAGTTTGAAGTGTTGATGCTGATGTGCTTGCCATGCAGTGGTGGAGTTCAGTGAGTGCACCATGCTTGACGGTGGGAGTTGGCTTTGCGTGGTGCAAGCTTCTCTAGGCAAGTATGTAGTTTCTGGGGTGTTTTATGGTTGAGTGAGCAGGGTGAATAAGTCATCTGCTTCCATGTGTAGCATTAATATTTTAAAAGAGTGTGTTATGGCATTATAAGAGGGTAATGGTTGTTCAAAGCTCTGTAAATTCTCTCCTGGTACTACCTTGCTGGTATCGGCAGGAAGGGTGCAGTGTCTTGTTGCTACTCTGCATGTTATGAGTTGTAATGGAGAGTGCGCGGAATAACGAATAACGAAGCTGTGACTTAATGAACTGTCGATTACAATGAAGGCACGCGATTATATAGAGAGTGTCCTAGCTAGGAGGGAACCTTGGGAAACGAGGTTGGGTGCAGGTTTGGCGACGGAAAGCCGAAGGCGACGCGGAGGAGCCTCGGCATCGTTGATGTCGGCCGAACGTGCGAAGTCTGAAAATCGGGGTTGTACGCGTAGCAGTCAACCCCGGTAAGGATAAAGGAAAAATCCTTACACTACCCCCCCCCTTAAGCAAGGTGGTCAATATCCGCAACGCGCTTGCGGGCGAAATAATCACCAAGAAGCGGGGACGCTTCAAGCGATGCGGATGGCACCTGTTGGTGCAACCCTACGGTTTGCACTCGGCTTGTTGTCCGTGTGCGTGAATGTGTGTGTGTATGGAATGGTATGAGGGCATGGGATAATATATATTTCATGCTTATAATTGTGTGTGAATGTTGAGTCATGATGTCGAGTGTGTGTGTCGAGTCAATAGCGAGTTATCGCTAGACGCGTGTTACGCGGTCGTTTGTGTCTCGCGCGCGGTTTCTATTTTGTCGTGCGCGGTTTCTATTTTGTCCTGTGTCGAACGTTCGGCGTGTCGCAGGTGTGTGCAGCAGACCCATCAAGAACTCAAGGATGAGTTTGTGATGAAGAGCCCGAGCCTTGGTGTCAAGCCTCAAGTGATTTCGAAGCTTGCCAAAAGGGTACACCTCAAGATATTGAAGATAGTTACATTACTTTGTGTAGTGTAACATTTCACTTGGTGTAGGCCCTAGTGAAGGGTAGTTTCGAGACCCTTCGTGGTTGGGGACAGTGTGGCACTGTTCCACATCACTGTACCTCGGCTCTTGGGGTTTGTAGGAGCTGGGAGTCATTCCCAACTCGTAACTCTTCCTATCTTGTGTTCTAAGACTATAGTGGCTGCCATAGTACCGTTCGTTCAAACCGACGCTGTGTCGTCAATTCTTTATCAAATTGTGCAATCTAAATTGCTAATTGTAGACGACGTGAAGACGCTCCAGATCCAATTTGAATCAAGTCATTTGCAGCTGTGAGCAGAACGCTATCAACGTTTGAAGCCGCTGTGCAGAAATCCGTCTGTGCTCTCTATCTTTCGTTTTAGGCACATTCAAGCCTATTGTGACTATAACAAGTGGTATCAGAGCCCCTTGGAGCAGTTTCGACAATGTCTGGACCTTAGGAAAGGGGTGGCAGAGGTGCTGGTGGCAGTGGAGAAGCTCAAGCTCAAGGCCAACCCCGTGATTCAGCCATGGCGCCCATGCAACCAAGTCTTGGCCCACCTAGGGATGAGCCTAGGGTGTTTGGGCTTGACAAGTTCAACGGTGACAACTTTGCTGAATGGTCCTTCAAGATGGAGAACATCTTTGACCACTATGACCTGCTGGAGGTGATGGAAGGAACGGAGAAGCGCCCCGAGAACGACCCGGAGAAGAGCCCGTGGGTGCGGAAGAGCGCACAAGGCTATCTCTTACTTGGGCAAGCGTTGGGGAGCAGTCAGATCCGTCACATCAAGCCATTCCAGCGCGAACCAGAGAAAGGACCAAAGGCATGGGCTGCTCTCAAGGGTGTACATGCTCCTGCAACAGCGGCGGTAGCGGTGGTGTTGGAACGGCAAATGGCGGCACTACGAATTGAAGAAGACGAAGCGGTTGAAGAAGGGGTGCAGAAATTCTTCGACTTGTTGACGCGGCTTGAGGGAGCTGATTTGAACTACAGTGAGCTCCAAAAGAAGACCAAGTTGCTGGCCTTACTCCCAGAGTCATGGTCCTCGCTCATCATCAACCTTAATCGCGACTTGCCCCGCCTCTCGCTTGAAGACGTGAAGCGAGCTATCCTTCAAGAGGATTTCCGCCGCCGTGAGTTGGCGAGTGCGGATGGCGCTGGGGCAGCGAGCATCGGCCATGGATATGGTCGAGGAAGAGGCAGAGGACGAGGGGGAGGAAGGTTTGGTGGCAGCAACTTCGGCGGAGGCCGCAGGAGTGGCGGTTACGGCAGCGACGACAAGAGCTACGGACGCGGTCGCGGCCGATTCGACGGCGAGTGTCACTATTGCCACAAGAGCGGACACATGTGGCGCGACTGCTACAAACTCCCTGATGGTTGGACCCCTGCTCAAGGCCAAGAGGGTAGAGGAGCAGGAGGAGGGAGAGGACGAGGCCGTGGAGGCCGTGGCGGTCGCGGTGGCGGAGCTGCAAACATGAAGAGCGGAGACAACGACAAGGACCCGAGCGACGATCGATACCCGGGTCTATTCTACTTCGTGTCGACGCAAGTACCGGCTGGTCCAGAGAAGGATGAAGGCTTTGAGGAGCCAGCAGCTGTGGGGAAGGTGACCCTACACCCCCTGGACTATTGGGTGATTGATAGTGGCGCTACCTATAGCATGACACCTCGCCCGGACTTGCTCACCGAACTCGAGCCGTCACCGGTGAAGCATGTCACATCGGCTTTGGGGCAGCGAGCAGAGGTGAAAGGCATGGGCAAGGCCATGTTCAAGGGTGCTGATGGGAAGATGGTGGGCCTCAAGAACGTGCTTTGGGTGCCCAGCCTTGCTGCAAACCTGATTTCCGTGCGGCGGTTGGCAAAGGCCGGCATGGACACGAACTCGAAGGGAGCCAAGACCTACACCGCAAGGCTTGGCGATCGAATTCTTTGGGACCTTCATGAGGACAGGGATGTCTACAACGAGATGTGGCAGATCCCAGTGGTCCCTATGCCTAAGGAGAGGCAAGTGGCAGCAAGCATCAGCACCAAGGATGGAGCGGTCGGTAGCGACGATGGCGCGAACGATCGCGCTAAGGAGAATGAGCTCAAGAAGAGCAAACCTGGAGGGACCAGCAAGTTCAGTGAACCTAAGGAGAGTGGTGCAGCAACCAAGGAGCAGCAAAAGGGTGAGGAGAACCCAGAGGCAGCAGCGGAGGAGGACTACGGAGAGAGTATGTGGGGCGCTATTGCGAGCGCGGCATTCTCCAATCCAACTTCGGCTACGGGGGAGTGTGATTGGCTCACCTTGCATCGGCGCATGGGGCATGTGGCCCTGCCCATCTTGCAGCAGCTAGTGAAGAATGAGATGGTTGCTGGCATACGTGTGAAGGGGGAGCCCGATGAGGTGCTTGGCTGCCCGACGTGCATTCAAGCCAAGTTCACCCGGTTTCCGTTCCCTAGTTCGGAGGCAACGGCAAAGGCACCGCTTGATGAGGTGGTGATGGACGTGGTGGCCCCCCTGAAGCTTGGAGCTGCTGGAGCTGAGTATTTTCTCACCATTGTCGACGTCTACACCCGCATGACATGGGTGTACGTGCTGGCCAAGAAGAGCGACGTGGCTGAAACGTTGAAGACGGATTGGTTCCCGATGGTGGAACGGCTACAAGACCGTCTAGTCAAGTCAATCCGCACCGATCGAGGGGGAGAGTTCCTGAGCAAGGAGTTTGGGTTGTGGCTGAAGAAGAATGGTATTCGGCACTCCCTCACCATGCCATACTCCCCTGCAATGAACGGCATCGCCGAGCGAGCGAACCGCACAATCACGGAGGCGGCACGCGGGTTGCTCATTGAAGCCGGGCTACCCGACTATTTCTGGCCTGATGCGGTGCGGAGCGCGTGTGTGGCCAAGAACAGAGCCTTGACTCATGTGGGAGCAGACAAATGGGTGCCCTATGTGGAGTGGCTAGGAAGGAAGCCAAAGGTGGATATGCTTCGGGTGTTCGGGTGCATGTGCATGGCGCTCGTGCCTAAGCATCTTCGGCACAACAAGCTTGGTGCCAAGACGGTGTGGGCCGTGCACTTGGGCATGGCTCAAAACAGCAAGGGATGACTTCTTTGGGACCCATTCACCAAGAAGTTCTTGGTGAGCAGGGACTGCAAGTTCATGGAGAACTTCATGTACAAGGATTGGAAGGCGGAGAATGAGGCGAAGATAGGCGTGCGGTTTGGGGAGGTGAAGAGTTCCGGTTTGGAGCATGTGGAGCTGCCTTTGGAGCTGAGCAGCGGCAGCACAACCACAAGGCAATCCTCCCTTGTGAATGGGGGAGAGGAGGCCAATGATGCAGAGGAAGAAGAGGAGGAGGTGCAGCAAGTGAGCGAGCGTGCACCGTCACTCCCTTCCCGTACTACGAGTGCTCCACGGATTCGAGCCACACCGCAGCAACGCCAAGGCCTTCAAGTCCCTGCAGCTGAGGAGGAAGGAAGGGGGAAGATGAGAGTTCAACCTCCTAATAGGCTGACCTATGATGCGCCGGGAAAGCAGGGCAAGACAGCCCTGGCCGGAGCGGCAATGATGGTCGGAGACGACGAGGAGAGTGACTACGAGGAGTGTGCCTTCGCGTTCTTCTCTCCGGTGGAGATGCCGGGAGAACCAGCAACTCTCAAGGAGGCTTTGGAGAGTAGTGATGCTGAGGAGTGGAAGAAGGCCATGGAGAGTGAGCTGAAGAGCATCGAGGAGAATGACACGTTTGAATTGGTGGAGCTACCGGAGGGGCGTACGGCGATAACGTCCAAGTGGCTCTTCAAAATCAAGTCGGATGCCGACGGCAAGATCGAGCGCTACAAGTCTAGGCTTGTAGCCAAGGGGTACCAGCAGAAGGAGAAGGTGG